AGACACAGACACACACACACACACACACAGACACAGACACACACACACACACAGAGGTTTGTTTTTGTGAAAAGTGGGGACATCCCATAGGCGTTATGGTTTTTCTACTGTACAGACCGTATATTCTATTGTCCTACACCAACCCTACCCCTAAACCTACCCCTCACAGGAAACTTTGTGCTATTTCAGATTTTCAATACACTCCATTCTGTGTGATTTATATGCGTTTTGAAAAGTGGGGACATGGGGTAATGTCCTGAAAAGTCACCTTCTCCTTGTAATACCTATGTCATACCCTTCCTTGTCATTAAATTTATGTCCTCATTTGTCACAAAAACGCACACACACACACACACACACACACACACACACACACACATGTATGTACATATAATAGCAATGATATTATTATATTTAAATTGCAATAATATGAGGACATGCATTTATACTTTTACAAATAAATGCTGATCATTGAACTGTCATTGAAGTCATTAAAGAATTGATATTTAAAAAAATATATATATATATAGAATGGTTTCCACAAAAATATTAAGCAGCACAACTCTTTGCAACATTGATAATAACAAAAAAATTTTCCTTAATGATTTAAATTGCAATAATATTTCAATTGCAATAATGATACTATATTTAAAGTAATGCTATTTCACAATATTACTATTTTTGCTGTATTTTTTATTAAATAAATGCAGCCTTGGTGAGCTTAACAGACTTTCAGAAATGTAAAAGCCTTACCTACCCCAAACTTTTAAGCGGTAGTGTATATGATTTCATATGTTAAATAAAGGTAATAAATGGTAATTAATTCAGACCTTATTTAACCCTGATCATAGCCTGATTAAACCATTAAACACTTTTCTCTCTTGTGTGTTTGCAGAACCGACAGACGATTTTGTCCAAACAGATCACCACTAAAGAGCCGGTGAAAGGTGTGCTGATGTCCTACACGCTGATGGACTTGCGTATTCCCCTGTCGTATGAGGTCAGCCTCACTCCCATAACCAGCTTCGGCACCGGAAACACAGTCACGCGCACCATCCAGTACTCAGAGCGTAAGTCACCTTCCAGTTACACACCATACAGTATGCAAGATCTCCGTTGTCAACTGGCTACTCCCATACATTCATTTTTTTATCTTAAAGTTATCCTTTTAAGTAGGCAGTATAACATTTTTGATGAATTTAGATTTTTTTATTTTATATGGGCAAGTGCAAAGCATAGCTGGGCTGGTTGTGGAAAGGGAATCAGAGTCAGAATTGTTCAAATCCTCATGATTCCCATCAGCAGAGGCCATGCATTTCAAATGTGAGGTTTCGCTTTTGGGATTATGGCAAATTGAGATGTCAAATGTGTGGCAGTCATGGTGTGGAGAGTTTGCTGATGGCTACAGAACAGGCTAGCAGTTTCAGCACCAGAGCCGAGTCTGGATCTCAGAAAGCGCTGATAGAATCTAATCCCATTGGATAGTCGTTCAATCTTCAACTCCCAATCTCAGCATTACTCTAACCAGACCAGCCTCTAAAAAATGACCAACCTCTAGAATAAATGGACTGCTGGAAGACATGAAACCCTTCTTCTCTGATGTCAAGGCGATATACACAAAAGTTTGTTCCAGTCTTCTAATTTGATTGGCCGAGTTTTATTTATTAAATATAATAATTTTATTTTATGTATATGCATAAATAGTTTATTTACATTAAAGTGTTTGGTTAAATATATGTAAATAAATGTTATTTACTGCTATTATTATTATTTTTTCATTTTTTATTGTCCATTCAAATATTTGGTAAGATATATGTAAGTATATGTAAGTAAATGCTTTTTTTTTTTTATAAGAATTTTTTTTAAACAATTATAAAGTAATTTTTAATTTAAAGTAATTATTTTATTCTTTTATATTAAAATATTCTGTAAAATATATGTAGGTAAATATTATTTATTGCTTTATTATTAATTATGCTATTTAGTATACATCATGTTGTTTTATATAATGGAAAAGTATTTATTAAGTGAAAAACGGTATAGAAAGTATGCATTATGCTTTTATACATATTGTATTACTTACATTGAACCTTGTTCTCATTTGGAACATTTTTGGTTAATTTATTTTGTTTAAAAATAATAAATTAATAATTTGGTTAAAATAACTGTTCAAAATTATGGAATAAAAAAAAACCAACGCTATTTTAGAGCAGATACATAAACATACACTATATATGGTAATGTTTTAGGTAAATATTTATAGTTTTCTCTGTATAATTTTGCACTTCTATCTCCCAGCCTTGTTTGATGTGTATACATTGATCTCATTTGTTGTGTTAATTGAGCCATAAGAAGGCCCTGCAGTCACTGTTTTTTCTCATTTCTTTTCTCTTGCAGCCTACACTTACCCAAGACCTTCAGGTGAGACAGTCCTGTACTTTTTCTTTCGGTGATGATTTTGTGCATGTTGTCTTTCTCTCTCCTCTGAACCGTCCTCCCATCTCACGCTTGCCCTGCCTTTCAGTTCTTCCCAATTAAATTCAACACAGTTCTTCTGGCAGCGTAAGCACAGAGCTTTGCCAAAGAGGTACAAAGAAAAAAAAAAAAACATAAATTAAAACAGACTGGAGATCAGCAGAGTAAATTGAAGAGCCGAATGCATGCGGAGGGAAGAAAATGGTGATTTCAAACCACAACTCGGAAATCGCGCATTCTTCTCCATTCAATGTCTCCTCTCACACTTGGAAAATGAGTTAATCAGCCATTTAGAGTGTGAATGGAGACGTTCTGGGTGACTAACTACAGTATTCTGTATTTGTTAAATAAGGGTAATCGCTGTGAACGCTGCAATATGCTGAGAGTACTCCAGTACTCCAGAGGAACCTGTCGAGAGGCCTCCTTACATTAAACACGCCTGAGAAACCCTGCAGACCTTCTCCTCAGATCTGCTCATCAGCATTAGGGCGTAAGCACAGAGCTTTGCCAAAGAGGTACAAAGAAAAAAACAAAAACAAATTAAAACAGACTGGAGATCAGCAGAGTAAATTGAAGAGCCGAATGCATGCGGAGGGAAGAAAATGGTGATTTCAAACCACAACTCGGAAATCGCGCATTCTTCTCCATTCAATGTCTCCTCTCACACTTGGAAAATGAGTTAATCAGCCATTTAGAGTGTGAATGGAGACGTTCTGGGTGACTAACTACAGTATTCTGTATTTGTTAAATAAGGGTAATCGCTGTGAACGCTGCAATATGCTGAGAGTACTCCAGTACTCCAGAGGAACCTGTCGAGAGGCCTCCTTACATTAAACACGCCTGAGAAACCCTGCAGACCTTCTCCTCAGATCTGCTCATCAGCATTAGGCCTGAAACATACTTTATGCAAGTACGAAAACGCAGGTGTGGATGCTTAGCCATGCTAAACAGACTTAGCTGCATTCTTGCGCTGCTGTAGCAGAAATGTCAGCTGCACAAGACCCCAAGTTCCTTTAAGATTTTTCATTTTCAATGCAACTTAATGGACAATATTTGAGATTAATGTCCTCCTGTTGCCATTCGAATAAGCCCTGCTCGTGATCATGGCAAGAACAGAGACTACGTTCTCAGAGTCTTTAAAGTTTATTGCAAGCAGACACACTTATAAACTGTGCTTCTTATGCGGTGTTATAAAATTCAAGGATATTACTAAAGAAATATTACCTTTTGTAAAATAAATTAGAGTGCATAAGGTCACACTATACATGTGGAAAACGCTCTTATATACTGTGGCTCTCACATAATGGAATACAATTGAAGGAAATATTATTAAATCATTATACAGTTCAAGGGTAAAATAACATAGCCTCTGATTTATAGAGTTGTTAGCTGCTTAAAAGCTTACGTTTTAGAAAAGAGAGCGTAAAAAAGGTTACACAGCATGTGGAAAACTCAAAATTCACACATGGTGAATGACAGTTAAAGAATAAGAGGATAGTTTGAAGGGGAAATCACTATAAGTATACAGTTCGTTTGGTGCTCACCTGAGACCCTTTTACTGCTATAGAGCCCCTTTCAGCAATGCTAATACATTGCGCTTTAACATATTTTTATTATTCAGTTGCGACATTCTAAGGTATGTTACTTCTTAATAACAACTGTCGTCTTTAGCAGTGGCGAATAACACAATGTTCAACAGACGTTGATGTCTTTCACTTCTCTCGTATCACACCACTGCGTTCTCTAAATCAGTGGTTCCCAACCCTGGTCCTGGAGGCACCCCAACACTGCACAATTTGCATGTCTCCTTTCTCTGACACACCAGTTTCAGGTCTTGGAGCAGGGGTGCCCAAACTCGGTCCTGGAGGGCCGGTGTCCTGCAGAGTTTAGCTCCAACCCCAATTAAACACACCTGAACCAGCTAATCAAGCTCTTACTAGGCATACTAGAAACTTCCCAGCAGGTGTGTTGAGGCAAGTTGGAGCTAAACTCTGCAGGACACCGGCCCTCCAGGACCGAGTTTGGGCACCTCTGTCTTGGAGTCTCTACTAATGAGCTGATGACTTGAATCAGGTGTGTTTGATTAAGGAGACATGCAAAACGTGCAGTGTTGGGGTGCCTCCAGGACCAGGGTTGGGAACCACTGCTCTAAATAATAAAATATTTAACTCAATATTTTCTGTCTAATTATTTACTTATTTGGCAAGTAGCTGTGCAATAAGCAGGGTCCTGATCGCTCTGTTAGGGTTTATTCTGCGAGAAAAACCATCTGGATGTACATTATCGCTTATGTAACACATTCTTGCATTCATGAACTGAAGGTGGATCTTGATTCCCTCTCATGTTTTTGTGTGTAGATCACGTGTGCGGGTTTGAGGACATTAGGGTATGTGGGTTCACTCAAGACCGCAGTGATGTGTTTGACTGGACCAGACAGAACCACCTCACACAGAACCCCAAACGGTCGGTTAATACAGGGCCGGACACAGACAGGAGTGGGACGAAGGAAGGTAAAAATACACAGCAACACACACCAAAGAGGACTTTTTTTTTCTGCCCACTATTAGAATCTAAAGAGAAACTCTTTTCTATTCAGTTCAAATGTATTTTATAGCAATTTTCAAACTCCAAAATCATCCCAAAGTACCTTTTATAGAGAATTTTGCCAGTCAAGAAACTCCATAGAAAGATGCTCCTGTATTCTTGAAATCGTGTACAACAAAAGCACATTTGTAAAACCACATCATTTTATTTCTTAAACAAAAACTATGACTGTCTGACCAATCTTGAGAAAGCAGATTTTATTTTATTTTATTTTATTTTATTTTATTTTATTTTATTTTATTTTATTTTTCTGTATGTATTATTATTATTATTATTATTATTTATTTTGTGAAAGCTTCTGCCCTTTGAAAAACCTTGTGTTAACTCGTTTTATACTTTCCATCTACAATAAAGGTTACTACATGTATATTGAGACGTCGCGGCCACGACAGGCCGGGGATCGAGCTCGTCTTCTCTCTCCATTGTACAATGTTACGGCAGCCCGAGGACCAACAGGGACCACCAGAACCCCCTACTGTGTCTCCTTCTACTACCACATGAACGGAAAACATATTGGTGAGCCTTTAACTCTGGTTTGAATTCACACTCTGAGAAAGACAAAAACATTTAAATTCTTGACTTAAAGTCAATGTTTGAAATCTGTTTTACTTTGGTTAACTGATTTTTTACTGTTGTGCTCATGGAGAATTGATTGAATAGTGGAAAGTAGACTCTATATGACAGGTTGGAGGCTGGATTATGTTGTTTCCCTGAAAAATCTGAGTTTGGTTTGTCTGAAAGTGTTCTCCTCTACTGCAGCATTGAGCTGAATCTGTCAGGGAAAGTACGGTGCTTTATGAGTAGTGCTCACTAGAAGGTCAAAGACAATGAAGGACACAGACAGTCAGAGAGAGAGAAGTGATGTCATCCACACATCCATTACGTATTTATCGTGACTGTTAAAACATTAAGCTTTGTTTCAAAGTGACATCTGTCTATTCTCTCAGCTCCAAGCAGTCTTGTGTGTGTGTGTGTGTGTGTGTGTGTTTCTTCCTGGCACATTTAAGCTGATCAAGCACATCATTCAGTGCCACACTGTAGTAATTCTAAGAGAAAGTACATAGCACAACAATATCGGATACAATAGTCAATTTGTAATTAGATTAACAATTTTATATACACTACCATTCAAAAGTTTGAGGCCAGTAAGATTTTTTAAAAGTAATAATACTTTTATTTATTGGGGATGCATTAAATTGATCAAAAGTGACAGTAAAGGCATTTAAAATGTTACAAATGATTCTGTTTTGTAAATCAATTCTGTTAAAACTTTCTATTAAAGAATCCAGGAAGAAAGTATCATGGTTTTCACAAACTATTATATATAATAATTATTTTTAACATTAAAAATCATAAAAAAGTCAGCATATTACAATTATTTTATTTTATTTTATTTTATTTTATTTTATTTTATTTTTCTGTATGTATTATTATTATTATTATTATTATTTATTTTGTGAAAGCTTCTGCCCTTTGAAAAACCTTGTGTTAACTCGTTTTATACTTTCCATCTACAATAAAGGTTACTACATGTATATTGAGACGTCGCGGCCACGACAGGCCGGGGATCGAGCTCGTCTTCTCTCTCCATTGTACAATGTTACGGCAGCCCGAGGACCAACAGGGACCACCAGAACCCCCTACTGTGTCTCCTTCTACTACCACATGAACGGAAAACATATTGGTGAGCCTTTAACTCTGGTTTGAATTCACACTCTGAGAAAGACAAAAACATTTAAATTCTTGACTTAAAGTCAATGTTTGAAATCTGTTTTACTTTGGTTAACTGATTTTTTACTGTTGTGCTCATGGAGAATTGATTGAATAGTGGAAAGTAGACTCTATATGACAGGTTGGAGGCTGGATTATGTTGTTTCCCTGAAAAATCTGAGTTTGGTTTGTCTGAAAGTGTTCTCCTCTACTGCAGCATTGAGCTGAATCTGTCAGGGAAAGTACGGTGCTTTATGAGTAGTGTTCACTAGAAGGTCAAAGACAATGAAGGACACAGACAGTCAGAGAGAGAGAAGTGATGTCATCCACACATCCATTACTTATTTATCGTGACTGTTAAAACATTAAGCTTTGTTTCAAAGTGACATCTGTCTATTCTCTCAGCTCCAAGCAGTCTTGTGTGTGTGTGTGTGTGTGTGTGTGTTTCTTCCTGGCACATTTAAGCTGATCAAGCACATCATTCAGTGCCACACTGTAGTAATTCTAAGAGAAAATACATAGCACAACAATATCGGATACAATAGTCAATTTGTAATTAGATTAACAATTTTATATACACTACCATTCAAAAGTTTGAGGCCAGTAAGATTTTTTAAAAGTAATAATACTTTTATTTATTGGGGATGCATTAAATTGATCAAAAGTGACAGTAAAGGCATTTAAAATGTTACAAATGATTCTGTTTTGTAAATCAATTCTGTTAAAACTTTCTATTAAAGAATCCAGGAAGAAAGTATCATGGTTTTCACAAACTATTATATATAATAATTATTTTTAACATTAAAAATCATAAAAAAGTCAGCATATTCCGATTTCTGAAGGGTCTGTACATATCAAATTGTAATTAAATTAAAAAAGGTTGTTTTAAATTGTAATAATATTTCATAACATTACAATTTTTGACTGAATTTTTATAAAAAATTAAAATTGCAGTGTTGATGAGCATAAGAGACCTTTTCATCTTAACAACTCCAAACTTTGGATCGATAATGTACAGTATATACTTTCCAGTGTTGAGTGAAATGAAGTATGTTATATAGTATAAGTATATATACATAGTCAAAAGGATTTCTCTTGTTCATCTTCCATCTTGGGTGGATTTTTTTTTTCACTCGTCACAATGCATTATGGTATCGTCTTCTATGTTAAGGAAACATGCAATGCTGCCTTAGGGGCCTTTCACATAGGACACGCTCTAGCATCCGTCTGCGCGACATTTTCATTGCTGTTTAATGGCAACATGCGCTAAGTGGGCATCTGTGACTGTTGCCACTTCATGTCAGGTTAAATCAAGTTAATCTTTTAAAAATGTGCCTTGAGACCTTGTGGTCCATTCCTCTGCACTGCATTTGGCAACTTTTCAGTGCAAGAACACGTCCTGTGTGAACGGCCACTCAGGATTTGACCAAAAGTAGGTATCTTAAAGTGACAGTCCACCCAAAAATGACAATTCTGTCACTGTGTACTCCCACTCATGTTGTTCCAAACCTGTATGGCTTTCTTTTTTCTGCTGGACACAAAAGAAGATATTTTGAGGAATATTGGTAACCAAACAGTTTTGGTTCCCACTGACTTCCATTGTGTTTTCCATCTATACATTTAAAGTAAATGGGATTCAAAACCGTTTAGTTCTGTCATGACAACTCTCGGAGGGATTGGCATGGTAATGTACATGACAATGTTAATGTATTTGGTCTTTGGTGGAATAGATCTGCTACGCTGCTACGCAAGTACCGAGACTTGCTACTGCCAATACATCCACAACATGCTACTGTGAGCATGTAAGAAATATTGCTGCTGCAAATATAACATACATGAAATAACCCCCATATAGCATACATGAATCACCTCGTAGCAGATCTATACAGGTGGAGCTGGGGAAGGTGGAGGGTTTCTGAAGCAAGCTGCAACTGCTACGGCAAGCACTAGTCGTATATTTGAATGTTGAGCAGCGAGCTCATTGGCTACCGATACAGGAGAGAACCAATCAGCTGTGCCATGTGATGATGTCATTAGGTCAGATTGAGTTAGACCTATCGGACTGCGCCATCTAGAGTTTCATGCCAGAACTCCGTATTTACCAACATTCTTCAAATACCTCATTTTGTGTCCCACAGAAGAAAGAAAGCCATATTAGTTATAAGTAAACAATGTCAGAATTTTTATTTTTGGCTGGAATATATGTTTAAGGTATCTTTTTTTTTTTTTTGGGTGGACTATCCCTTTAAAAAGCAAACCCACGCAAGCCTTACAGTTGCACCTAAAATGTGTTCTAATTAGGCATACTAAGACTATGTTTGGGAGCAGAACCTGTGTGTGAAATGTGTTTGTTTATGCAGGGTGCTATATATGTGTGGGTGGCAGGGATTTACTGTAGTTTGAGGACAAAAATGTCCCCAGAAATGAGCTAAATCTGACAAAAGCTCTCTTTTGGGACCTCAAAGGCATAAATGACTCATAAACGCAGCAAATAATGTTGTTCTAAAAATGCACCGTGCACAGTGATTTATGGGTATTCCTGATGGGATTCAAAGATCTGTGACTATCTGGCAACCACCTGTAGCACACACTCTAGCACACACTCTAGCACACACTCGCACAAGCAGACTTTAATTGCTCATTAATGTAAGGACTTCATCACACAAAACTCCTCCAACCAAAGTTTCGACAGCAGACCAAAAGTTTTTTCTGCTGTTGTTGTTTTCTCATTTTTCAGCTTGACAAATAAAGTAAACGAACTTCCTGTTTCCCCTCGCTTTTTATCTGCACTCTCTCTTCAAACTTTATCAGCCCATTAACGGCTCATAAATAGTGCTTCTCTCTCTCTTTCTCCTCTTCTGCTCGTCGATCTCTCTGGCTGTCTGTCTGCTTTGCTTTCACTCCACCTCGTTCACTCTTTACCTGTGCGCTGTCTCCTGTTCTAATGAGACGAGGCCGTCTAATTATTTGCCAGTTGCCACTCATGACACAGGCTGGGCTCGCGGTGGGGGGCGGCTGGTGAACACACAACGTGCTTCAATCTGTTCGGCTTTCCGAAGGCATTTTGGATTCCCTGCTGCAGGCCTGCACTGTATATTTCAAAGGACATGTTTTATTAATTCCATTGCTATTTAGGAGTCGGAGAGGACAGCAGGTCCTTAATGAAAATTAAAATTGAAAGGCGAACCACATTAATCACGATCAAAATCACCCTAGGGTGCACATGCACATAACCTCATACTCAAGCTGTCTGCTAAAGCTCTCTAACTCATCATATTTGTCTCTGTCTGCTTTAAAATGAGAGAAGGTGGTTTAGTGGTGTTTCTGTTTGCTATTAGAGTATTGTAGTGCTAGTATAAACGACTTCCTGTGACCTTCCGTTTACATCTGTGTGCTAAAATCAAGTTGGGTGACATCACAGTCACCAGAGAAGATGAACTGTATTCCAAAATGTAGTGAGCTGGACACTTTTGGAGTATTTTAGTTTTGTTTACTTGAGTAGTAAACAAGAAAACAGCATCTGTGTCATAAAGCAATTTTAATATTATTTATTTATATTTATTAAATTATATTTTAAATTAGCTTTGATTTTTTTTATATTTTCAGTTTCAGTGTTAGTAATTTTGTGCTTTTTTCCAATTTTATTAATTTTGGGGTTTTTAAATGTTTGTATGTATGTTTGTTTTAATTTAAATAATTGAAGTATTTCAGTTTAAACTTATTTTATTTCAGATAGTTGCCTAAGCAAAATGTCTTTTTCTTTCTTTCTTTCTTTCTTTCTTTTTAATCTAATGTTTAATTTTCATATTTCAGCTTCATTTTAATTAATGAAAATAATGTGTAATTCTTTATCATTTTTTATGTGCGTGTGTGTGTAAAATATATAATTCACAACTTCATGCAATTTCATCTAGAAAGCGGCTGTTACAGAGGATAAATTATTCAGATCAATTCAGTTCAGTTATTTATAATAAATAATAAATAAAAATAATCATTCGGAAGCAAAAACTGAATAAAGCAGTTTAGTATGATTAAAGTTAATAATATACTACGGGGCCGTTGAATGCTTGAATCTGATTGGCTGATGAACGTTCTGAGGTGTGCAATTATTTTCAGGAAAACGCATGGCGAACGTAGTTCCAGGCAGCTCTCTTGACCGCATTACAGTTCCATATCACTTCGCATAGTTAACTGTAATAACGGAAATTAGCATACAGTACCTATACAGCACACAGGAATTACTGCAATCACACGTGCTCGCACATTCGCTTCGCGCCGAGCCTAACAACACCCCTTAGCTGTTATAAATTCACTGTACCACGGCTTCACGGGGCTTATTGCTTTATTTTATCCAGTGTTTATGAGTATATGTATATGTATTTTCTGCTTGTTAGAGTATTCTTTCAGTAGCTTAGCAACATGCTAACACAAATAAAGTGTGATGTTTGTTATTTTTGTATCTGCTTTTATTTACATCAGGTCTGCATAAGGTGGTTTGCTGGTCTGGTATTACCAACCCCCCCTTAAACCATCAGAAAAGACTAGCCTAAGCAGCTTGACCAGACTGGATGATCTTAGGCTGGTTTAAAGAGTTTTTATCTGTTCTACACGTGGCTGGTGGCAGTGATCTGCTATAGGTTGAATGTTGGCGTGATTTCTGCTGATTACGGCCTGTGTACACTAATCTGCTAATCATTAGTCTGTGCAGTGGCATGTGGGTGGCACTGTGGGCACAGATGCTAAACTGAGAGGGAGGCACAGCTGGCTCGACTCTCATTACATGAGACGCCCTACTGAGAGACAGACGTCCCTGTTAGCAATCTTAATGTGTAGGACTGTGTTAGCCGCTCTATGCTGGCCGTAAATTACAACCTCATTAGCAGAATGAGAGTTTAGACTTTTTTTTGCGCCACTGTGCTTGCATTAGATTTGATTACATCCCAATTAGCAATTGAAGAGATTAGCTCTGCGTTG